GCCCACCCCGCCCGTATGCTCTCACCTATGACAAGAGAGTGATTGTTATTGGTCGTCGCTGACGTTACCAGACGAAGCGTGAAGGCACTGAACGCCCGAGGATCCAGGTGAGGATTGACCGGCCACAGTCCTTCGAGGAGGACTCTGCCCATTTCTGGGAAATCCTCGTTCGCGAGTGACAAGTGGGGCACAAAGATTTCGTCGAGGAGTCTCCTGCACAAGCCGCGCGTCTCCTCCAAGGAGCCCCGGCACAAGTTGAATCTGTTGGTGAATTTAAGATCGTCATGAATATGTTTTTTCGCGAATCCAGTATCGATCGACTGGCCGACCACGAGAAGCCTTTGAACTCCTGGTAAAAATGAGAAAATACCTCTCCTCCATCCCCAACATGCTTCCGACGACTCGCCACACGTGAACCAGACCTTCCAGTTCGTCCGAACTGGTGACCACACCCAGTTGATCGCCGTTCAGCAAAGTGAATCCGATAAATCCAAATTGGGTGAGCGCCATGTCCAGCTGCGATATTCTCTCAAGTCCCGCCCGGGCGGCTCGTCTCGAGGCCACGCAATGCTTGCGACGCACGTTTCTTAGAGACTCGAAGAATCTGCGAAGTCGATCGAGAGAGGCTCTGTAGGATTATTTGGTGTCACTCGCGGATTTTCTGGGTCAAAATGTCAAGACTAAAGGTTGCATAGGAGATTCATGGAATGGAGATTCGTGGATACTTTGAGTCCTTTGCAAGATCCATCGAGAATCGACGTGGTTGCCTTTAAATCTTTAGCTATAACTCGTTAGGAAATTCGTAGACTCGACGCGTAGCATCCTTAATCGGCAGAACACACTCACCGGCTGTCCTTGTCCGGCGACTTCTCGTACCAGATGAAGGTGTGAAGTATGGTGGAGACGTAGCGTCGAAAGGCCGTGCAGGGCGTTCCACTTTGCTTTGTGTACTTGAGCACGTTCAGAATGGAGGGCACCGCCAGCAGGATTAACAGTCCAGCTAATTTGGCAATCATCATCGTGAAGACGTTATCGCGGAAGGCCTTCTGTCCAAGAGCAAATTTACGAGGATCGTAATACGATGGCAATTCCAAGTTGCGCAACTCCATGTCGGCAGGCGTCTTTGCTCCTTCCTTCAGCAAGATCCGAAGACGTTCCTCTATGTCATCTAACGTCAAAGGAAGCATAAAGTCGAGGAGAATGAGCTGCCACGAGCCGCGCGCTCGCCTCTATAGCCACAAACCATCCGACTGCGCGCGATACATTTGCCTACTTGTACTTGTTGTACTTTTTATTACTTGTCAATCGAAAGTGCACACATGTTACGCGTGTGTCTTGTACGCCACGGCAAGAGGTCCCCCCCCCCCCC